GTGTGTGTGTGTGTGTGTGTGTGTGTGTGTGTGTGTGTGTGTGTGTGTGAGACACTCGGCTGCACAAATGACAGCACAGCCAAACAGTTCAGCGCAGAGGAAGGAGCTGCGGTGAGTCACGGCCAGGGGTGAACTGCTGGCAGATTTCTACTTTAAAGTTTTGGAATTTATTTGTTTTCATCAAAAGAATTGGGTTTTCTTGCTTATTTGGTTCCTGTGGCACACTTTCTGGGGAATAAAATGAGAAATAATCTAAACTAAAAAAAATAATCGTTTGGATTTAGTGTGTAGCAGTTTTTGAAGTAGTCTCTCTGAGATTGCATCCTCTGTAAATTAAAATAAAGCCAAATATTTTAATGTATATCTTGTTTTTAATGTTTGGCCTGTTCAAATAAGGTCGTTAAAGACTATGAGACGCTCCGGTGAACACGTGRTCACCTGCAGGAAGGACTCAAATAATCCACAAGTGAAGCCACTTGAAACCTGGAACTTGAGGCAAAATGATTTTTATACCTTTAAAATAAAAAAAKCCTCTATAGTGGGCTGCAGGTGGTCAGTACCATCCTGACACTGCAGGTTCAAGCTCAGGTTGTGTCAAAACAGCATCTAGTGTAAGACAATCACCAAATCTTTGGTGCAATCACTGGCTGTGGAGAGTCCTGCAGAAGAGAGCAGCTGAAGAAAAAAACAACAACCAAAAATAAAGTAAGAAGTGAGTTGTGTACCCCAGCAGGTAAGCAGAGATGAAAGTGTGTCTCTTGCACACAAACTGCATCCAAGTTCACCCAGAGACCAAAAATATGCAGCCGATCCATACCAGCTGCAGCTTCAGTGTGTTTGTCAGAGATAAGCTCTGTTACATTTACTGAAGAGTAATAAACAGTAATGTGAAAGTTGACAGCTAAATGTTGTTTACTGAAAAATCAATTAATACCACTGTCAAAGTTCAAACAAGCAGAAAAGAAGCTAAAGTCAGAAGCTAACCTCTTACAAAACTCTTGCTAAAATATCAAATTATCAMAGCCGTTGTAGAAAAAAACTAAAATGAGTAAAACATTGTGAAGAGTTACAGAGACAATAAGAGCTAAAAGAAGCATAAGATAAAATTAGAGGAAGAATGCTACAGATTCCAGAGCACAATGTTTATTAAGGAACTGATTTTTATTCAGATAAATGTAAATAAATAACTCCAAAAGAGTAAAAGTTACAAAGATTAAAAGTCATGAACACTATTCCTTACATAGGACACAATATTTTGGTAAACGAACAAAGAAATTAGCTCCAAATCTGCAAAATAAATTTCAAAAACACGTCACCACACCTCATTTTGTCTCAGCAGCACTGGTTTTTACACTTATTCCATTTTTCTCCTTTTTTGACCAATTCTTATCTCTGATGTGATAAAAGCTGCTGAGGTAGTTTTTTCCCCCTCTCTTCTATAAAACTTTGGGCCAAATGTTTTACTGTCTCTTCCACTGAATAAGAAGTATGTGCTTCAGTCTTTTGAAGTAAAACAATTTAATATGTGAAGAGAAACTATAAAGGAATCCATTAATCCCCACGGTATTTCAAAACCAACCTTGTGTTTCCAAACCTGACATTCCTTAACGGAGTATTAATGTCTACGTCTACATTTTTGTTTTTTTCTTCCTGAGCATTTCTCTTCAGCAGTCTCCGCAAACGCTGCTGTGGATCATTTTACACTTGTTATAATTTTGTTTTATTGTAAGTGTGCAGTGGTTTGTTTAAAAGCACATCAGAAAACATAATTTCACACTGTCTAAGAAACATTATTTTGTTTTGTGGAATTATAAAAATACAAAAAAAAGAGAGGAAATACTTCAGCATCTCCGGTGGAGTTTATTTCATATTTTCTGATGACATAATTATAACCTGGTGTGAGAAAATCTGATCTTCTGATCAAACTGAGTCATTGACTCCATTTTGTAATGCAGTTTTGAAACAGTTATAGTGTGTGTGTGTGTGTGTGTGTGTGTGTATGTGTGTGTGTGTGTTTGTGTGTGTGTGTGTGTGTGTGAGCACATGTGTTGAACAGCTCCTTGTGATTCCTTCAGTTCACTCTCCAACATGAATCTGTTTAAAATTATTAGAATTTAAACAAAGTGGACAAAACTATTCAGACATCAAAGTTTGACTTTGTTTTCTACAGAAGAGGTAGTTTAGTACTTAGAAAGTAGGCCTTTGAGATCGCCATCTATCTCACGTTGTGCTTTTATCTAGACGTCTACGACTGCTTCCAGGCGCAAACAACAGCAGCAGCAAGCTTTAGCACTTCCAGCAGAAGTAGTAAAATATTTCTCCCTCAACAGTCATTTAATGCAGAAGCGACAGCTTTGTGAAGGGTTATAAAATCGTGTTAGCATGAAATGCAAGAAGACATTTAAGTCCATTCAGACATATTAAATGTGTGATGCAACAAAATAAACAAGTTTAAAAGGTGAAAGCAGTGCTGGCTCTAGACATTTTGGTGCCYTAGACGAGTTGAAGCGACCCCCACCCCCACCCGAACAATGTCCCACCAACCCCAATTTAAACCCCTTAAAACAAGTTTGACAGTGAAAGGTACCATGGTAAACTTAGATTTATTTGCTTTCCCAAAAAGCAAACGCAGTAAATAACAACATACATGTCAACTTGTACGAATTATCCGAAAGTTATAAGGATTTTACATAATTTTGCAGGCATACGGACGTGTAGGGCAACCTCACAGATTTTTTTCAAGTCTTACGGATTTTTTCAAAACCTTATTTTCAAAATTATCTAACATGTCAGAGCCTGTAGGATGATTAAAAAAAAACAATAAATAATCTTACGACCTGTTCTGCCGGTAGAATTAAGTTTTGAGCTTTTTCCGCTCTACTTTCCCCCGGAGCAGGACGACGAGTCAGTGCAACGTCAATCAAATGAGAGGGAGGGTGGGGGCGATTGCTGCATTGGAGGGGAGAAAATGTTTTATGGGTAGAGTAGTTTATTTTTCCTGTAATACTTCATTAGTTTTTTAAGACAAAGCTAATTGAAAGGGGCGCTGAGCAGAGTTACAACCAGGGATTACAAATAATTACTTTTTTTCTGCAGTTCAGCGCCCCCTCCAGCAGATGGCGCTCTAGGCGACCGCCTAGTTCGCCTATGCCAAGAGCCGGCTCTGGCTGAAAGATAATACCTATACCCCTGAGCTGTTGGCTCTGAGTAACTGATTCCCTAAGCAACTTAGGTAAATCAGTGAGTGAAACTTTAACTTTTAGCTTTAATGTTGTATTATTTATTTCACATGTAGTCATTTCATTTCAACATTTATAAAAGGACGTGTAAAATGCTGTTTCTATGCAGGAAATACAGCATAGAGCTCAGTTATTGTTTGTTRGCGGTGCTGAGTCATAGCAATGAGGAACCAGTTGATAAACTGATCTTGAATCTATATGGCTCTAAAAGGTAATCAGAAATTCTTCATAAATTATTTAGCTAACATGCACAAAAAWTTTAAGTATATGACTAAAAAACAGAAAGATCTAAAACAGGTGAGATATTTACTGTTCATAACCTTTCAAGAGACTTCCACTTCAAAGGATCAGAACTCTTCAACTCCAAAAATGAGACAAAACTCCCAACAAAGTTTGTCATTTATTGACCAAACGTTACAGTTTCTTTGTCAAACTACAAAAATCCAAACCTTTAAATTCAAGCGCTGCTTGTAATCATCGACACAACCTACAGGTCTCGCTGCAGACACACAAATGTGGCAAATGCACAAATTATATACAGTTTCTGAGCTCAGATTCAACACAAAAACAGAAACACTCAAACAATAAAGGCAATTCTCCTAAAGCACTACAGACTGAACTTGATTTGAGATTCACATCCTGCCCCCTGGTGGCACAAATCAATGTTTACTCTGACAAAAAAAACAAGCTCTGTCACACACAAAAACCAACAAAACCAACAAAAAAAAGTTTGATGTTTAAGGAGCATCACAGTCGTCCTCAACATGAATTAAACATTCACGAAGGCTGAGAGGAACCAGAACCAAACAAAGCAGGAAATGGGTCTTCATAACTTTTGTTTAAAACACACACGTGCTGATTTCTAAAATGTAACAAATCCATTTCTACTTGAAATATTTGCATCCAGTTAGGTTTCTAAAAAATAAGACAGCTCTGATGAAAGCATGACACTAAAAATAAACATGCAGAGCTCCAAACAGCAGAAAAGTTTCATTCCCTTCAAAATAAAACAACTTATTTGTCGCCAGTCTGTTTCTCTTAAATGGATTCAGATGATGATGATGATGATGATGATGATGATGATGATGATGATGATGATGGGAAAAACAAATTTAAAAAAGAGGACATGAGGTTTAAAATGTCTGGACTGCATTTAGAGTCAAAAATCTTGGTTAATTTAATCCTTAGTTTGCATAAGATTTTCTGCTGAAGGTGGAGAGGGATGCTCAAAGTGTCCAAACAATTACAAATAAATTAAAAAAATATATCTCTATTGTGCTTTCAAGTGACACGACTCAACCACAAGTCCTCACAAAWACACCCACCCATGCATCGAGACCAACACTAAGAAGAAAAGTCAGTTTGTATCCAGAGCAGGTGAGAAAGCAGCAGCAGGGGCAGCCGGAGCRTCAGGACTCCCCCCAGTGAGGCGGGATGAAACCGAGGCTGGGAGCRTCGCCCACAACCAGAGTGCTGCGGCTGAGCGACGGCGACGGCGACGCCAGGCGGAAGGCCGGGTTGATGGAGTGCAGCGAGTCCCTCCGGCCGCGTTTGCCGAGCGGGAGGCAAAGRCGAGCCGCGGCCTGGCGGTGGAGCTGCCGCGAGCAGCCGGCGGCGGACAGCGAGGAAGGCTCTGCGGAGGCGCCGGCGGGAACCTCCTGGACCAGGGGGGCGGTCTTCGGGGTCCCCGCGGGGCACAGCCCGTGAAAGTCCGAGGAGTTGACCATCCTCTCCAGCACGTCCTTTGTGCTCCGAGTGCACTGGGTGAAGGGAGACAAAACAGAGACGTCAGAAGGAGGTGACGCTGAGATGTGAAGGATGAAACTGGTCATGGTGGAGAGACTCCAGATGAAGCAAGAAATGAGTCAGTTGCTGCYTCTGAAATGAGAAAGATGTTTATATAGAACTACAAAACTCTACGGGGCATTAAATGTCAAATAAAAAGTTGTAAATTCTCACAAACAAATTTTCAGGATGTAGCTCATTTTCTGAGCGTAAAATCCTAGTTTGTTTTTTTACCTCACTGTTCTTACATTTGGCAATTTTTTTCTACATATTCTATTTAAACATTATCCATCCATCCATGTTCTTCCTCTTATCCAGGGTCAGGTCACAGGGGCAGCAGCCTAAGCAGAGAGACCCAGACTCCCCTCTCCTCAGCCACTTGGACCAGCTCATCCGGGGGAATCCTAAGGGGTTCCCAGGCCAGCTGAGAAACATAGTCCCTCCAGGGTGTCCTGGGTCTTCCTCTGGGCCTCCTCCCAGTGGTACGTGCCTGGAACACCTCACCAGGGAGGCGTCCAGGAGGAAACCAGATGCCTGAGCCACCTCAACTGGCTCCTCTCGACGTGGAGGAGCAGCGGCTCTACTCTGAGTCCCTCCTGGATGACCGAGCTTCTCACCCTATCTCTAAAGGGAGAGCCCAGACACCCTGCGGAGGAAACTCATTTCAGCCGCTTGTATCTGCGATCTCATTCTTTTGTTGTGATGTCATCATCCTGAGACAATACCAACCACTAACAATGCCAACTCTGCTGAAGATGTTTTTAAGAATTTAAATTAAAAATGTGTTCAGTGAAAACAATATGGATGGTTCCTGTGGTCCGGCCGTGTGAAGTACAGCTCAGTCTTCAGATGCAACTGCAAGTTCGATGTCTTGCAGGTAAGTGTTAGCAGTTAGCGTTAGCGCTGCTAGCAGCATTAGCATTTTGCTCAGGATGATGACGTCATAACAAGAGCAGAGCAAAGGCTGCATTCAATTTCAAAAAACTTCAGTGTAAACTTCAAGATTCAAGATTTAAATTTTACATTTAGGATTTAATATTTACACACATTATTTAACATTTAAATTTAACATTTAGTTTTAAAAAACGCTAAATGTATGAACAGTGAGCTAAATATAAAAATGTTAGTGGAAAACGTTTAACACTTAGAAAGTGAGCTAAATAATGAAAATGTCTTTGTGACATTTTTTAACATTTTATTTTGCATTTGATGCCTCATAAAAGCAGAAATGTTGGGAAGTTTTCTAAAATGCAACGTTTACTTAAACAAGTAAAAATAATTAAGCTTTAATAGAATAAAATATGTTTAATTAGTTCAGCACTGAAAAATAATGCGTGGGCCTGCCTTTTTATTTATAAAAGTGTTTTAAGAGAAACCTTTTTTATTTTATGTATTTATTTATTTATGTGGCATTTTTTAAACTTCCCAACTGAACAGTGCACAGAAAGATGATTCAGACTCAAACAGCAGACTCGTGTGTGTTTCCCACTACTCATGCACAAAAACACACTGATCCAGAAACAGGACATCTTTAACTCAACAACAAGGTCATCAGCCTTCAGATGAGTGAGTGAGAGAATGTTAATAATGAGTGGAACGGTATGAAACATGCAGACAAGCGCTCAATCAAGACAACCTTATCACAAAGTCTGCCCGAGCTGAGTTTGGGTTTAATTGCTGACAGCAGCTGCAACAAGCAAATCCAAAGCAGATGGTGAAGTGAGAAGATGATTGGTTAAAAATGTTGAGCCCCGCCTACTCTTACCATCAACCGTCTGCATGCAGCAGAACCCTTCAGGACGTGCAGGACAGAGAAAAGTCCTGACAGTTCTCCTCCTGGTGGAGTGGGATAAATACAACACTGAGTGGATCGTCATACAGCTGAGACACCAGCACTTTTTTTTTCTCAACGACATTAAAGGGCCTGTGACATCAATTTTTTTCAGATAAAGACGAACGCATTTTTGAAACAATAACATTGATAACATTTTGCAAAACAAATTTCACGCCGCTGAGATGAACGGTTGTTGAGATATTTGCATGAGAAGTAACAGGAAGTG